CTCACCTTTAAAACAACAATTTTTTACCTCACTTTGGCTAATACAAGATACTAAACCTCTAGCCTAGCTGTGTTTCAGGGTCCTCTTTTCATAGGAAAAATCAATGTAGTGCTACACAGCAGTAAACAGATCTGAGATGACACAGTTTGCAGTGGTTAACAGGTTGGACAGTATAAATGTTTGCTTCTCTGGGCCTTGCTGTTAAAACTCACCTCTTGCACATACACAGGCTGCAATTTTAATATGCTTAACTTGTATCCTCAGGGTGTCATCCTATTCTACACATTTAGTGGAAGCTTTGCAGCTGAGTTAGTCTGGCAAGATTTAAATTCATATTTCTTCAAACACAGCAAAGCCAACAGCCTTCTCCTAGACCCAAACACCATTTTCTAAAGTAGGGTTTGTTTCCATGTTTGTTCCCAGCCTTAGCTATTGGCCATTTCACAGTATACTCGTCACTTTAACCCTATCCCTAAGTTAAAGGAACCTCAACAGCCATGAAAAAACTCCCAGAATTTGAATGCTATACTGGTGAAGACCCTACAAGTACTTAAGACATTAGAAGAAGCAGCATTTTCATTTGAACATTAGATTAAATCCAAGGCATTTTCATAGAAACATGGAATCATTTAGGTTGGAAAAGACCTTTAAGATCAAGTCCAACCATTAACCCAGCACTGCCAAGTCTACCAATAAAACATGTCCTCCTGCCACATCTACACAACTTTTAAATACCTCCAGGGGTGGTGACTCCATCACCTCCCTGTGCAGCCTGTTCCAATGCCTGACAACCCTTTTGGTGAAGGAATTTTTTTCCTATTGGTAAAAAAAAAAAACACTCTGAGAAGAGATGGAAGAATTTGCACTGCCACTTGGGGAATGTACTGAAAGATCTAAATTTACCAGGAGGTAAATCACTGCCCTTTTGGCAAATTAAAAATAAACAGGCAGTGATATGTGTCCTATAGTCCATGTAGAGGTATGCTGGGCAAAAGGAGACTTCAGCTCCCAGGAACCCCGAGTGAAATATTAGCTTTGCTGCACATATGTGAAAAGCCAGGCATACCATTGTTTATAGCCTTTGAGAAATGAGGGCAGGACTAGGAAGCACAAGATAAGCTGTACCAACATTGCCCTCTATCAGAAATTTTAAGTAAAGATAAAATTTACATGATTTATGAGGTTTGTATTTGGCAGATATTTTTGTTGTAGTTAGCATAAAAAACATAACACCATATAAACTGTACACATACACTAATTTATTCATGTGAGGACATGATTCAGTGGAAGTGCTGCATGAAGCAGCTGTACAGCTCAGTGTTCTTGTACCCTCAGAGCCTCTCGCTCTCCCACTCTCTCCCTCCAAGTGCTGGCACATTTACAGCTACAGAGCAGATCAGGTTAAAGAACTGATTCAACTGAAAAATAACAGCCAGTGGAAAAAAAATATTAATTTTCAGCCACGAGTCCACTGTGTTGTTGCAGAATGCTTATGCTGGTGCAGCACTGGCAGAGGGGGAGGTAATGCAGGATGGGACCAGCAGGCAAGGACACAGAAGGGAGATGATGACTTCGGTAGCTGGCTCTGATGTCAAATAGTTTCTTACCAAACTATGCCCTAAACCTTTTTCTAATACAGTGCTGTGGTGGGGAAAGTATTTAGCCAGGATTATAACCAAAGGATTTGAATGAGCGGAAACTGTGAATTTAAAACAATACAGTAAATTATTAAATTATTTTTTTTAAATACTTTTTAAAGGAAAAATCTCTAGGACAGTTATATAGGACTAAGTTGGGGCCTTTGTTTTTCCTGTCAAAGTGATAGTAGTGGTAGTAGCCTGTATTATCTCCAGTCTAGCCAGCAACTTCTGTGGTCAAAGGCACTGTCTACAAAGGCACAAGGTATGTTGCTCTTAGTTAAATGAGGGTTGGCAGAGCTGGGTGCCAAGTTATAATGGTTAGTCCTTTATTGCACTCATACTTCACCACCTTTTGTAAAATGTAATTTGCCAATCCATTACTGCCATTACTGCTGTGATTATACATCGCTTCCATTTTTCTGAATATTCAGACATATAATTCATTTGAATGCTATATGATACTGAAATTACCTAAATGGAATTTTAATTCAGTGAAGATTCACAGTGGGGTTCAGGCATTTAACTCCAGTGAAGTGACATCTGGCATCACTGGTGTCCGCAGAGCTTATTCGTGGCTGCTCCCACAGCTCCCCAAGCATCCAACCACTCTGCTGACAGACCCCCCTGGGCTCTGAGTTTTCTTCCACTGGACAAGTCCATAACTGTCTGAAATTCTGTGCACCCTTCAAGGTTCTGCTGGCACAGCCAGGCCAGCTGAGCTCTGCTGTACACACAGGTGTGTTGGACAAAGAAGATGCTGCCTGAGTTTGCATTATTTGAGAGTGGGAATAGTAAGAAGCCTGATGCAGCAGTATATGGATGGAAGTGCTGCACAGGTACATGGCTGACTGTGCCCCCAGGCATTGCTGACTGTACAGGGGTACAGCCTTCCCAGCCCCTTCTTCTTGGACTTGATTAGTCTAAGCCTGGAGCTAGTGCCCAACAAGAAGCCCCTGTCACCGTCTCTCTACAATAGAGCTCTAAATCAGAGGCTCTGAAACACAGATTCATGACAGCACTGAGCTTCCCACGTGCCCCATTCATAAATCTGATACTCTGCCAAATGCCTTGGTTCTGAGTTCTGCATCAACAGATAGAAGGGGCCTCAAGGATCATCTGGTCCAACCTCTCTTAGCAAAAACATGGCCTAGACTAGATGTCCCAGCACCCTGTTCAGACAAATCTTAACAGTGTCCACTGTTGGGGAGTCCACCACTTCCCAGGGGAGGTTATTCCAATGGCTGAGTGTTCTCATTGTGAAAAGTTTTTAGTGAAGTCCATCAGAGTGTGGCCTGCCCCAAAGCTTTATAGGCATGCTGGTTTGTCTTTCTGCACCTGTCCTGAACATGCTGCCTACATTGTATAGAATAAATAAATACTCACATGCATAAATAGATAGAAATGGGGACTTCAACGTTAATTAAGGTAATACAGGATTTTCAAAAATTTTGTAAAATTTATATTTGTTACCTCCCTGAAGTCCTTGATCTGAAGCTAGAAGCCAGGGAGGCAGTTTTAAATCAAAGTGACAGCTAGGAAAGAGACATTCTGTCTGCTTCACAAAACCTGGCTGACGAACATACCAAATTTCTGCTCCAGTTTAAAAACATCTTTTTTTCATAGACCTAAATTTCAATCTTAAGGCTTGTGTCTCCCAGGCAACATCAAGAAAGATTAAAATGCAATGTGCTTCGATAGGTATCTTTTATTAAAATGCTTTCAAAAAGCCACCTACAGGAAAAATAAAAGTAAATAACAAAGTAATACAAGTTTATTTTCTCTCCACTCTCTTTGAATAATTTTGGGGAAACAGTAATATTGTTATTCAGTTCTCCCAACAGACAAACTGATGGAGGCTGGAGGATGGGGTCCTATGCTGCAGCTTACTTGTGTCACACAGAACATCATGATCTTAAACCATTGTATTTCCGATTTCTCAGACATCTGAACCCTGTGCAACTAGATAGTGGGCTATACGTATAGCAATATTATTCTTTTCTAACTTAGATTTACAGACACTCTCAAGCTTTAGAAAACAGCTTTCAATTTTTAGGGTTCTACCTTTGCACACTGTAATAGAACCTTTATTTTAGCACCTATACCACTAAAATAAACAAAAAATTAAATAAACCCCATTGACACAATAAAATGGTGAGTAAAATTCTGATCATGTTAAAACTCATTATAATATTCCCAAAGTCTTCAGGAAATCAGTTTGTCAGTGTTTGTATAATACCTGGGTAACACAGGCTCAGAGAATGCCAGAAAGCAAGGGAAATTATACCATCTCTGGCAATCTCTGTCGCATGTCAAAGAACATGCAGCTCTGCAGAGATCATTGCAGAAAACTTGGCTACAAATCAAAACAAATAAACAGAAGTAGAATGGGTAAATAATCAGAATTCAAATAAAATCTGCATTTCCCTCAGAAATGTCAAGAGTCACTGCACTAGAATGAAAAGCTAAAATCCTTTCACCATGTTCATTTTGGAAACACTCATGGAATGGCAACCTCAGCTCACAAACGAGAGGCTTTCATGGTATGGAGTCCTTGGATGGCTCCCGACAGCAGCCCACAACAAGTGTTCTGGCCGAGGATCCTGTGTAGCAGACACGGATTCCCCAACTGGGGACTCCCCATTGCTGCCTGGTGCATCACACATGCTCTGGGTCACGTAAGCCCTGTGGGACTCTCCTAGACCTGGGTAGTGTTACTTTCATCACTAGGGTTTTCAAACAGCAGCAGCTACTTCTGTAGCCTGTCTCAAGTATTCTTATTTTCACTCTCCAAATCTAAAAGAGCAACCACTTCATGCAGCTGGTACAAGACCAGGTCTAAGAACAACCATACCCCAGCCACCTCTTGCCTAACTTGCCTAGGTAAACTGTCTCAATCTTAAGTAGTTCTACCTGCAAATATCACTGCACACCCCCATGCACACTCAATCTGTATTAAGCCTGTGCATGAGTTTTCCTGAACAACAATCTGTCAGATAAATACAACAGGAAACAATTGAGGTTGAAAAGACACATTACAGTATTTTCCTCCCCAAATGAAATTTCAACAAATACATTTCTGAAGCCATAAATAAAGTGTACTATTTTCTTCAGGCCTCCAAGTCTTTGTAAAAATATCCCAGTCAAGCCAGATGGAGCAATGTTACAGGCAAGTACGTTTATAAAAATATTAGTGAACATATCTGTTGAATCTACCATATACCCACTCATATTATGATAGCTCTCATTTAAAATGTTAATCTTTACAGTATTCTGTGTGATACCATTTATAACTACTGCACACCTTGGGCCTGGGTTTCTCAGTGACGGCTCACTTCAAGATCACGCTGCAGCTCACTGCTACTGAGGGTGCCAATATCCTGATTATTTAATTTGTGTTAATCCTTTTTGCCTCTTTAGTTTTCCAGTGAAGAGTCGTAGATTGCCTGCAGGTCGGCTTTGTACCTCACTGATCTTAGTCAACCAAACAGCAAATATGGTTATAAACCCAACCACATTAGGCAGTAGACTTAAGCGGCAGATCATAGGTCCTTGTTCTCAGAATCCCCTCCTGTGGTTTTACAAGCGTGCTATCACTGTGCAGGTTAGAAATGCTGGCTATTCTTCTGCTAAGTACTGATTTTATAGTATCATTTACTAACTACTTTATAGAGGTTAATGCCAAGTTTCCGTCTGATAGCTTGGAGCTATGGATCACTCAAAAAAAATCTTATCTTGTTCCAAAAATAACACAGATAATGACTTGCATTTGCTATTTAGTGCTGGCATATATTGCCACATTTTGAGGAAATGGCTTGCAATAATAATGACAATATGTACCTATGGTGAAGTTTTTTTAAGAATTTCCACTGAAAACTGTTAATAATTCAGCCACTAAGAAATTGTTCTTGATGGAATTTGGAATGTGGGTATTTAAGTCTGCCCACCTTTAAGGTAGCCAAGGTTCTGTTTTACTAAGTTATTTTGGAAGATGTGTTTTCATACTGATATGAGAAACATCTAACAAAATTGTACCAGCAGGAGCATGTCAAGAGTATTATAAGTGGATGTGGGCAGCTCAGCCAAAGGAACATTCTCAGAAGCCTCTGGTGGTGGAAGAACAACATAAATGGCTGAAGGAAGACTGAGCTGCCACACTATGGGCTGGTTAACAACATTCACACTTTGAACTAGACTATGCAGTTTGAAGCTGCTGAAGCTGTAAGTACTTAAGGGGGAGAAGAGCACTGGAGCAGAGTCCTGGAGCTACTCCCAGAGACCAGAAGGTACGTCCTTTGCTGGGCTGGAACTATGTGAAATCACTTCTCTGGTATCTGTGATAGCATTTTGCCTCCTCTGTGCTGCAGTTCCCCACTAGCCATCCATGGCTGTAGGATGGCTCCAACTCCTGCCTACTTGAAAAAAAAAAAAAAAAAAAAAAAGGAGAAAATAAAACCAAATTGCTCGGTTCACCAATACCAGCAAACCAAAATAGGCTACTTTTTGTATATGGTTCCTGCTTTCTCCAGATAATACCATGAATTAAGATGATAAGCAACTTCACACAATAAATGGAATTCAGAAAGAAATTTCACTACTAATAGAGTAATTTATAACCTGCTATTTTTCACTTAGCAGTTATTGGGCACGGTGAGAAAAACAGGGTTCGGTGCCAAAGTCAAATTGCGAGTTTTCCAGGTCCATCTTTTCCCAGACTTCACCTGCATGCACACTGTCTTCTTTCCCAAGCCCTTCACTGCAGATAGATAGCAGTACAGCAATTGAGTACACACACAGAGGTAGTTTTGACCACTGAACTACCACTGCATTCACCAACACTTTCTCAGAGCTGACTCGAGGAAAACCAGCCAACCGCAGCGAGAACAAACACACGTTTTCAACCCCTACCGTTCTTCTCTGCCCTGAGGGCAAAACGCATAAAGCTCCTTAACATCTGCTTCCTCGCGGTGAACGAGGCCCCGGTTTTCCCACAAATTCCCTATCAAAAAGGAGTCGCAGGAGCCCGCGGGGCCCTGAGGTGGCCAGTGCTGACCAGGCGCTGAGGCAGCTGCTGCCCGCCGGCCCGAGGCGCCCACAGCAGGATCAACTGGGTGTCCCGCAGAGGTTGGCGGTGTCCACGATGGCGATGGTGCCCCGGGGGAGCTCCAGCCGTGCCGTGCAGAGAAGCGAAGGGCTGACCGCGCCGATGGCTTCGCCGTTGGCCGCCGCGGCTGCTCGACCGGTAAAGGCCTTTGGGAGCCACTGCCAGGGCCCGCGTCCGGGGGGCGGAGAGGAGAGGAGAGGGGAGGGGAGGGGAGGGAGGAGTGGCTGGGTCAGGCAGCGCCGCTCCCCGAGGCCTCGGCGCCGCCCCGGGGGCTGCTGGGGGTCGGGGCTGCCCTGCCGGGCTCCCGCGCCGGGACTGAGGTACCGCTGTGGGGTTCATTTCTAGGAGGACGAAGTGAAGCGCGGTCCGGGAAGCCTGTGCCGGGGCAGCTGCTGCCGGCCCGGGTGATGGGAAAGGCCATCTAATCCCGGCTCAGTGGCTCCGTGGGGCTGGGGCCCCAGCCTGGGCACCAGCCTGCTTGCCTCTGCACGGGGCCTGTGAACTCCCCGTTGTGAAATCTCCTGGACGCTTCCTCACTGTGGCCGCTTCTGTTTATGAACGTGATGTCCAAACACCAAGTGTCAGAAGTGATTTCTGAGGGCGGGCTTGAAGAAATATTCTTGGGGGCTTCATGCTGGATATTGGGAGACTTCTAAATCACATTAGTAAATTGAGTTTTACCGTTGAGTAGATTTAATTAGGAAAGAGGAAACAATTGCCCCTCCCCTTAGAGCCATCGTTTTTGAAAAATGTGCAAAGTGTCTTAGCCGAGATTCTGTTTTGACATCACTGTATGTCATACCAGGTACAGTGCTGAAACAGCTGCTCAGTTATTATATTTCTTAGGTTATAATATAGTATACTGTGTGAAAGACTTTTTTCTTTGGAGATCAATTTTTGCTAATAATATAGAAATTAAGCAGTATATATTATGAATAATCACGTGGAATACGTTTTTAATAATATATGACACTTATTATGGGCATTAGTCAAGGCTTCAAAAACAGCTACTCCAGATGAAAGCTTCAAAGAAAGAAATATTTCAAGCGTTTTATAGATGAGTTCTTGCATGCTCTCAAGGAAGAGGTAACGCAATTTGTGGCATTTGATCAGCCCAGCATCTTGGCAATATGTTTATGTTACTTAAATCTCTTTGTAACAGAACATGGAAGACTTGTACTTCCAAGTTTTATGTTGTGAGTGTGCCTATGACGAAGTGTCAAGGGAGACTTTTTGGGATGCTGCCCAGTTGTGGAATCTAAAATGAGAAAAATTTGTTTTAATGGATTTCTACTATTAAGCCCTTATAAATGAAAACTTGCGTTCTTCATGAGTACTGAACAAGATAAAGATGGGTCGAAGCACTGCTGGTCTTACAGGGTTAAATTTGTTTTGTGGGGTTTTGAGGTTTTTTTTTTTTTTTGAGATGTGAGTGGTTCGGTTGTTCAGTATTAAAATAGTAATGTTATCACCTGTGGAATTCTTAAGTATCAAGGTAGCTAGCTCAGTGCTTTATACAAAGTTGGAATTCCAGAACCTGTTCGTTTAAGTCCTGAAGTTTGGTTCAGCATGGTCTATGGAGAGATTTTTGTATGAACTTTATTTCTCATTTTCCTAAGGAAATCTCCCTCTCCCTCCCAGTTGTATAGCAAACAATTTTTAGTGAAGTTGGCCAGAAGATGTTTACAGTGGCATCTCAGAAGCTGTTTTGCTTCTTAATGTTTTTGCTCCTTAATGTGGCTTTACCCAAGTTCTGCAGAACTGGGACCATAGTTTCTATTCGCTTGGTGTCATAGTGTGGTAGGATACTGAATGGACAATGTTTAAGGAAGAAACATCACCTTGAAAATGTTAGCTTGATTACTGATATTAAGGAATCATGAAGTGCTCTAGTTCATTGGGTTTTAAGCATGAAAAAAGATTTGCTACAAGTCTGTCAAGTGTTTGTAACTTTAGGCTTGTTTATGGAAGACTTGCAGTCATCATATAAAGGCTGGACAGTTGGTCTTTGAAAACTAACTCTAAAATATTGGAGAACTTTACTTACTGAAAGCAGTTGTTCTTTGCAGTGGGTCTGTTAAAGGCTTAATAATTTTTTTCCCCTGGGAAAAGATGTTTAGATTTTTAATATTGAACTGATTTTTTCCAATCTGTAATGCAGGGAATGAGACTGTGTCATTGCAAACATGTAACTGTTTCCCTAGCTAGTACAATCTCTGGAAACTTTATACATATTCTTTAGGGGCTATATATGTTTTAGTGGAAAATATGAGAATGTCATTTTCCATGTCTTACTGAATAGGATTCTAGATTTCTACATTATCTCTTCTGTCTTTTACTTGGGTATTTGCACACTCTTGCTGCCACCACCTAAACTAGTTTAGTTGTTCAATATTTATTCCAAAGCCTTTTCCAGTCCCAGTCTAGTCAAATCAAAACAAAAAAACAGTTTAAAGCTTAAACACTTCAGAGTGTGTGTGTCAGCTGTAATGGTGTCTCCCTGCATGTGTGAAATTTACTGTAAACTTGACTGTTTCTTTTATGGAGCCAGAGTTCTGTGAAGTGTAGGAAAACATAATGTGTAATGGATTCACCAAGTTTGGCATATGTTAAGGCAGGTAATGCGTCGAAGTAGTCTGAGGAAGAGGAAATTTTGTCTCATTCCAAATTGTTAATAATTAGATCTTCTGGGGAGACCTTTTATGTGAGATAATCCAGTTGGTGCTAAGCAAAGAAGCCCTATAACATGGCAATGACTGATATTGCTTTAATTTTCTATTGTACCTTCTGATATCAAACTCCAGTACAGTATGACCAAGGATTGTTACAGCCCTTTTGAACATGAGGGGCCAGAAGACTCCTTTTCTCCCCTGTACTATTTCCAGAAGCAAAGAACAACTTTTCCCTTTCCAGCCTACTTTGTCAACTTGTTAGGGGAGAAGAGAGAGTAGTGCCAGTGAGGAGAGCACAGATAATTTCCAGGTGTTTGACTTTCTGCTGTTGAATAGAACCAGCTCTGCAGGTGTGTGGTCCTAGCACGGGAGAGTGCCCAGAACTGGACTGGGTCAGGCTGGACAAGCTTGTGTGGAGTGGAACGTGTCTCTGGACTTGTAATACTCTTGATTTCTCAGATATCTATACCTGCCTTGGCATTGTCTGTATTTAGAATTATAGCACTGCTGTAGTACTGCAGTGTCAGATATCTAGGCATCAAGAGCCTTGATAAGTAGGCGGCATCATCTCTCACTATAAACAAGGCCCCCTAATTGACAGAGGTTATCTGTTACGTCCATTCCAAGGTGTGCTTCATGATATTAATTTAACAGTTGGCAAACTTTCTTCAGTTTAGGCTTCCTGAGTAGCTGAACAAAATAATTGGCTATCAGGCCTTTCTTTAGCTCATCTCTGACTTCAACAGCCTTGATAACTTGTTGACCCTAGAATGATTACACAGATGAAGGACCTATGAGTATTGTTTTGGGCAAAGTTTGCTAGTGTGTCCTGAGTCTTACAAATACAATATATTATTCTCTTTCTCAAAAAAAATTGCTGCAGTCTGCTCGGTATGAAATGCAGGTCAGTCTCTACTCTTTCACACTGTACAGAAGATATCTCAAATATCAACATTATGTATTTAGATTCTGTCAAGGTACTATTTGATTTTGTTCTTCATTTCTTCATTAAAAATGTCCAGTAACTCTTAAGCAGCTTGTTCTGTTTCTTAATAACAGAATAATGTATTTACTCTAAACTTCTTGAGCTCATTTGCAAAGTAGTTCAACATGATTTGTATTTAGCACTCTCTTGACTGATGCCAGTGTATGTGATATTGAAGGTCTGCAATGACAACAGAGATACCAAGATTAGAAAGTGTCCTCCTTTTCATTAAGTTTTTAACTGCCAGGAGAACTTTCTTTGCATGAAAGTATAAACTAAAATTTATTGCACATAGGTATTTTTTTTAATGCATTTACTCACTGTCCTAATCTGGAAAGTGATTGGAAAAGCTTTTACACCAGAGTTGAATTTTTTAATTTCATTTTCTCTTATGTGTTCAGAAAAAGTTGTATGTTGTAGAGGTGCTGGAAAATAAAGCTATGAAAATATGATTTGGGTCCAGTTTTATTTGTTTTATTTTCAGTTAGATTGTTTGCTTATAATCTTTCCTGTGGAATTGCAGTTGAAAGATGCTGATGTTGCAAAGTCAGCCTGCTTTAACTTGCAGGATGAGTAGTGATTTTCCAACTGTGCAAATGTGATTTGGAGGACAGGAAAAAATGTATTTAGAACCATGTGATGCTTTTGGTAAAATCTCTTATAGTGACTGGAACTACACTTTTAATAACATGGACTGAGATGTTTTTCTTCAGGCAAAGCTTTGAATCCTGAACTAATGGCAGATATTCTTTCTTCCTCCCTCGCTTCCCTTCTGCTAGCTAGCATCTTGCATCCATCTTCAGAAGCAGAAAACATCAAGATAAAGACACAAAAATGACTGAGTTCTGGCTGATTTCTGCTCCTGGGGAAAAAACCTGTCAACAGACATGGGAGAAACTACATGCAGCAACTACAAAAAATAACAATCTTTCTACTAATTCGAAGTTCAATATTCCAGATTTGAAGGTATGTAAGCCTCATGTCACGTCCCAAGAAGTATAATTGTTTTGCATCATCTTGGTTTCTTTGGACTTAAACTGTAGATGAAGAATACTTGCAGATGTTTTAGAGACAACAGTTGACTTCTTTTGACAATTATGTGTGGATCTAAAAAATAATTCAGACATATATTTTTTTTTTCTGAAAATCTAAATTAAAAATTCCTTACTCTGGAAGTTTTAAGGATTCAACAAGCTGTGTTCTTTCAGAAATACAGTGGTTTTCCCAACAATAGTAGTCTTGACCTCATGGTGCTAGCAGCTGGAGAAGAAAATGAGAATTAAAATGGAGACTTGTGATCTCAGTATTCATGTGATAGTTTCCTTTGCTGTTTTTTTGTTTGTTTCATTCTTACTTCTGAATTATCTCCTTTTCTGGCTGAGATGCAGTGAAAAGACTTGATTTAAAATATAGGGGTTGGTCAAACAGCTGCGGCCTTTTCACTGTGCAGAAGTAACATTCTTGAATACTGGTTATCTCCAGCTGAGGATGTGTGTTATTGAAAATAGGAAGAAAACTGTTTGAACTAATATTCTGAGAAGTGAAGAGAAACAAAATCTGAAAGCAGTTTCTCTTGGTTTAGTACAATTTAATTTTCAGAGTATGGAAAAGTTATGAGCCAGTGTATTCATTAAGGTCTATCCCAACACCCAAATGTTTCTTGAACAAGAAAATTTCTGAGCTCATTTAACTGAGAGAAAGTGAAAGATCATAAAGCCTATCAAAATAAAGAGGGGAAAAAAAAATGCCACCAGTCTGTGTCTGGAGAATGGGTCAAGTTCAGGTGGCACAATGCCTTGTTCCTGTCTCTGCTAAGGAATGAGCTCAGGACACAAAGTGGTTCAGTGTATCTTTGAAGAGGATCTTCTAACTGCCGTAACTTATATTCATGTTTAGATTGTCCTGAGTTATTTCAAGAGATACACTAGTAGAGGTAAGAAGGGGGATTGCAACAAATATGTCTCCTCCTAGGAGATCCTTCCACATGAGTCAAGATGGCTTTCCAACTGTAGGTTGCTTACAGCATTCAGAAGAGTTGTCACTGAAAACTGATGTGGCCTATTAGGGTTATAAATGACTGGATTTGTTTCTACTCTACTTCCTAAAAGGGGCAGCAGCTGAGTATACTTTGTCTACAATGGGAAATGGTCTGGCTTCTTTGGTCCTAGGAAAACTGCTTAAAGAGTTAAACTCCTTAGTTAAAACTCACTAAAACAGTGATTTAGTCTCCATTGAACAGCAGCCTTATTGCTTAAAGACTTAACTTGACCTGTAGCTTGTGACTAGTCAAAAGCTTCTTTATTTTACATGTAGCTCAGAAGGTGGGGCATCAAAAGTGATTTGGTTGTGACTTAAGTAATTGTGCCCCTTTTTTTCTTCAAGGCTAAAGAGAACAGGAATAATGTAAAGTTGAGTGGGCTCAACTTGTTGACTAGGACTAGAATAAGGATGCTAGATTTAAAATAACATTAATAGCATCCTGACTAGACAGAAGATTAATTTATGCCTAGTAGTATTTCAGCATAAAATATAAACTAGTAGCTAAAATATTAACGAATTATCTTTTTGGAGGTACCTCCTACTTTCATTGAACAGAATGAGCAAACGCGTAAATACTTGAAGAGAGAACCAAAGAAACACTTCTGATCTATTTAAAAATAATCACCCTTTGGCCGTTTAACTTAAGCATAGCTCTATTGTTTTTGTACTTTCTGATATCTCTAGACCCATCTGAGACTTGCTTATGAAAGAGCTAAACAGAATATCTTACTGTGTTGTAATTTCCATGCTTGAACTATACAGAGTCTAAAATGCTAAGTAGCATCCCTGGCCACAGGCTGGTATATGGATTGCTCTGAATTATTACATGAAATCAGGGAATAAAGTGTTTTCTGGAGGAGAAGTGAAGAAAGAGTGAAAGCTTCTATACAAGCTAGGTATTCCATTACTTGATATGCCAACAGTCTGAGTGTTGCAGTTTTCTTGTGTGTTCAGTGTTTTCAGTGTTCTGGTTGCCTCCAGCACTGAGATAACTGATCACAGAAGTTTCAGATTTGATCTAAAGTAGTAATCAAATACTTTATTAATTTCCCACAAAGACTTGTGGGAAATGCAGCCAACTCATAATATAAAAGTTGATTTAAGATGTTTTGGATTGCTGGCATGCAGGATTGAGACTGTACCAAACTAGACTGAGTTAGATCTGATACTCTGGTGCTTTAGGGGTATTTTGAGCAAATGAAAAGCACAATCCACAAGCCGGAAATCCTGAAGTACAGCATTTCATGTAGCTCTGCAAAGCTACCTGTTCAGGAGGCTTAGCTTTTATTGTTATTTGCTTCTATCTTTTTTATGTTTATATACAATTACTAATGTATTTTGATCTTTCCTTCTAGGTTGGCACACTGGATGTTTTGGTTGGTTTGTCAGATGAGCTGGCTAAATTGGATGCATTTGTGGAAAGGTAACAATTTATTTTTACTAGCATGTAAAATATTAGAATAATAATGTGATGGTTTCCTGAGGCCTAATAATACACAGATTATTTCTATCTTTTTTTTGTTTCTTAGTGGTCCTCTGTAGGCAGTCAATAAACTAAGATTTCAGAAAGCTGAGATGCTGGTTTTCCTAGTATCTGTACTTGGGGGAAAAATAAACCTGAACTTCTTGTGGAATAGTGGAACATTATGTGTTGATGGAGGATGGTTCTCCCTGTAGTAGTGCTAAGTGCTGCTGGGTCCTGGATAACTGGTAAAAATTGAGCCTGACAGCTGCAGGAAGTGATGTTGAAATGAGTAAAACCTGTTCTTTTAGTAAGTTGGAGTACTATTTACAGACTTGAGAAGGTAACCACATTGTTTCCTAATCCACAGATATGATTAAACAGCATTAATATTAAAATACAAAACCTGTTCACTTTGAAAAAAATTATGGTCCTTTGAAAGTCATTTTCATAGAATCATAGAATCGTTAGGGTTGGAAAGGACCTTAAGATCATCTAGTTCCAGCCCCCGTGCTGTGGGCAGGGACACCTTACACTGAATCATATCACCCAAGGCCTTGTCCAACCTGGCCTTGAACACTGCCAGGGATGGAGCATTCACAACCTCCCTGGGCAACCCATTCCAGTGCCTCACCACCCTTACAGGAAAGAATTTCCTTCTTATATCGAATCTAAACTCCCCCTGTTTAAGTTTTAACCTGTTACCCCTTGTCCTGTCACTACAGTCTCTAATGAAGAGTCCCTCTCCAGCATCCCTATAGGCCCCCTTCAGATACTGGAAGGCTGCTATGAGGTCTCCACACAGCCTTCTCTTCTCCAGGCTGAACAGCCCCAACTTCCTCAGCCTGTCTTCATGTGGGAGGTGCTCCAGTCCCCTGATCATCCTCGTGGCCCTTCTCTGGACTTGTTCCAACAGTTCCATGTCCTTTTTATGTTGAGGACACCAGAACTGCACACAATACTCCAGGTGAGGTCTCACAAGAGCAGAGTAGAGGGGCAGGATCACCTCCTTCGACCTGCTGGTCATGCTCCTTTTTGATGCAGCCCAGGATACGGTTGGCTTTCTGGGCTGCAAGCGCACACTGCAGCCAGCTCATGTTCATTTTCTCATCGACCAACACCCCTAAGTCCTTCTCTGCAGGGCTGCTCTGAATCTCTTCTCTGCCCAACCTGTAGCTGTGCCTGGGATTGCTCTGACCCAGGTGCAGGACCTTGCGCTTGTCATGGTTAAACTTCATGAGGTTGGCATCAGCCCACCTCACAAGTGTGTCAAGGTCCCTCTGGATGGCATTCCTTCCCTCCAGCATATTACATTTTGATCAAATGTAACAAAATTTCACATAATCAGAATTGTGGAGCCATCTTCTGCTTCAAGGAGAGAAGTGTTAAATAGTTGCTTTTAAATAAAAAACTATTTGGCATGGCACATGTGAGCAATATTAAACATAACTTTTCTTGTGAGGAAGGCAGGTCTTGAGTGTTGAATCTCATGGGGCATAGGGCTGAGGTTTCCCCATAGCTCTTTGGTTGTCTTTGGTGTTTCATTGCCATGGTTGCCTTGTGTTTCATTTGGATTATTGATGATTTCTATCTTGCTGTCCATTTTTTAGAAAGGGGTTAGAATTTTGAAAGTATCACAGACTTCAAAAAAATATTGGAATCTAGGGAGATAATACATGAAGTTATCCCTTGTTACCTGGAGGCAAGGGAAGTAGCCTCACCTTGTTGAGAACGATAAGTAGCAACACTAGAGAAGGATTTAAATAAAGTTCTGGCATGTATTTGATAAGTTGCTTGCCTTCAGATACTGAGCCCAGTTTGTGCTCTTGGAAAGCTTATATGTAAAGCAATCAACTCTTATTTTTGTATCAAATTTCAGATCAGTTTCATAAATGGTATTTCTCAAAATAGCAACTTTTTCATTCTTCTTTTTCATATCTTTATCTTTCATTTTTCAGTGTTGTAAAGAAAGTGGCCCAGTATATGGCTGATGTTCTAGAGGACAGTAAAGATAAAGTCCAGGAGAATCTTCTGGCTAATGGAGGTAAAGTGTTAACCAGGATATGTGCATCCTAAAAGTCTAGGGGGAAGGCAATGATCCTGAAACATATTGAATGCTGTTTCTCTGTATGACATTCTGAAAGCCTAGTTTAGACATGGAAGTGTGTTTTTCCATGAGTCACTTGCCCCGAGATAAATTGTAGGATCCAGAATGGCAAGAAATTAAAGCTACATGTTAAATACTCTCTTACAGAAGCTTTTTGATCCCTTAGGGCTGTGTTTTTTAATCACTGGTCTCTGGTGGAACATAAATAATCTTTACTGCTTTTTTTTTTCTGTTGTAACCCTCCTTTCTCTCGCCCATTTTTCACACAAAGCAAAAAATAGTTGGTCTTGTGTGTGCTTCTCCAGCCATCATTGACTTAGTAGTAAATATCATTTAGGGTCTACAGAGGAGCAAGAAACAGTGTCTGAAGGCAGAGTTCACAGTTAACTTGCAGCTTCATTGTTTATGTTCAAATTTCTTAAGGAACAGGGTCCATACATGTGAAGGTCCACAAACAGTCTGTTACAGTACACTTCTGTTACAGCAGTCCTACATGGAATATAATGCATCAGTCTTTTTATTGTCTTATTCTTTAAAATTTTAGTTGACTTGGTCACCTATATAACAAGGTTCCAGTGGGATATGGCCAAATACCCGATCAAGCAGTCCTTGAAGAATATTTCAGAAATTATTGCAAAGGTAAGGTAATTTGTTCTATAAACAACATGTAGAAATAGGCCCACTATGTTAGATTGATACTTTCTTCAGCAGTATCATGAATCTACCTCATTTTGCAATGACTTTTCTGAGTTATCCACCAGTTCTACTACCAGAAGGAAGTTTGTGTTGTTGCATCATTTGGCGCTTTTACACAAATATATTTTCAAGAGCTCTACTGTGAAAATGAGGTTTGCAGTTCTGCATCCTCTAACATCTTAATAGGAAGCAAAACTGGTTCTTGTTTACAATAAACTGCAGTCAGTGCAGCAGTAACAGGCTTTTGTCTATGCAGTTATCTTTTAAAAGGTTACTGACTTTACAACTGAGAGCAGTTAAAGTCTTGACAATTAGGAACCGATAAACTCATTCGTAAAGGCAGTGTTTAATATCAATGGGTTTTGCCTTTTTTTTTGTTAAACATTGCATAGTTAGACTGGTGTTGAAAATTTTGATCCTTGGAAAACACAGAGGGAAAGGTTGTCCATCTGCAGTTGAAACACACTAGTTAATAGCTTAAGAAGACTCCAAACACACTGGTTAATAGCTTAATAGTTTCTGATTAATTTTTCCTCTAATGCTGTCTTCTAGTGGTACAAAAACTTTAAAAAAAGCTTTAGTGCTTTTTCTTGTAATATAAAAGAGTTTCATGAATGCGTGTGCTTTGTGACACTTGAAGTGCTCCACATGCTTTGCTAGAGCTTGCATCAGTCAAAATACTCATCTGTTTAAAAGTAAGTTGTCTTATGTTCAGAGTATTTTGTCTAAAGCTTTGCTGTATCTTTTTAAGGTGCAAGCTGTTAACATGTTGCCAAATGAAACTGCCAGAATGTTCAGGTTTTTAATGACCCTTCTGCTGCAGACCAGTGAGCTTGTGTGTTATTGTAAACAAGGTCACTATATAATGAAGTGACTTGACTTATATTTATTTTGTGGAAACAAAATCATTATCTGGATCCCCACGCTGAAGGGTTGTATGCAAAACAAAATGTTCTGTCAGTGGTCAAAGTCCAAATAAAGGTAGAATCCCTTGACTATGTTCAAATACTTGTCCCTGGGAATCTTTAAATGCTTGTTCTTCATACCATAGTGATGAAGCACTGAAGGAGGGAGCAGGCAGCATTACAATGCCAAACCAGTACTGTACCTTGTTCTTTCAGTTATCCAGCTGTTATGGCGTATATTGAATGTAAAGTAGTCTTTGTATAGGAGCATGATTGGAAGCTGAAAACCTACTAATTGCTTAATTTGTTATTTCATTTGCTGCCAAGTTACCTAGCTGGGAATGAATTATTTTTGGCAATCATGCTGGAGGGTGGATTTGAGAAGAATGGCTTACTGGAACAGCAATGGCAAGCTGAATGTGAGAATCTGAGTCTAATCAGTAAAATAGTTGGAGCTTTGATATGAAAGTTTTAAAGATGACTGTAGGCTGCCAGTGACATTAAATGTAGAATGCTGCCTCTAGCTGATTAGACAGATATATTTATCTGAAATAAGGTAGATTCAAGTCTGAAATACTGTCTGTCTACGCTGGCACTGGCCCTGTGTAACTTCAGACATTCCAAAATACATAAGTTTTCACTAATTGAAGAAAGCCTCTATAAAAAAGTTTGTTCTTCATGTTTGTAAGTCAGTGCCAATGTAAAACAGCAGCATAAAAGAGGATTTTGTGAAGGGAGATGCTGATACAATTTGTGTTTACATTTGCAACCATACCATGGGAAATAGTTCTGAGGGGAAAAAAAAGACATAAAATAACAGTATTTACAACTGTAAATAATAACAGCCATTTAGAATTGGGCAGATGATGCATTCAGTTGATACTCTGTCTTTCAGTGCCCGTGGCTGCTCACCTTAAAAAATGGCAACTGCAGTAGGCATATATGGTGCAACAGTTTCCTCTTAAGTTGTAGATAATGGTTTGGGTTACTTGATTTTTGGATTTACTACTCATAAAACTGTACCTTCATTCTTGTCACTTAAACTAATGAAGGAAAAACATAATGAGAAGTGAAATAACAGCTGGAGGAAATGGTACCCAGTGTTCACAAGTGTAATGGTATCGCAGTAGAAACGTAAATTCCAGTTGGACTCTCCTGACAGCTGAATGAAGGGTGTCAGCCTGAAGGTGATGGAGCAATGATCAGCTGGGTTGTGGTACCATGTCCAGCTGAATGCTGAAGAGGATGTGTAACTTTTATTATTGGCTGATTTCCCTTTAAAGGAATTCTACCATAGAGTTTTCTGAGTTTTGAGTGAATTTTCTCAAGCACTAGAGAAACAAACATTTTAACCTGTGTGGGTTTTTTTTTTTATTACCAAGTTCTTGTTGGTAGATCTAAGATTTGAAATTAAGAAATTATTTTTAAAATATTCCAGTTCTTTAGACACTGTTCCTTTTCTCTTTATCTTTAAGGGAGTAAACCAAATTGACAATGATCTAAAAGCAAGAGCCTCAGCATACAATAATCTGAAAGGGAACCTTCAGAATTTGGAAAGAAAGAATGCGTAAGTCATTGGTTTTTTTTTTGCTAATGTAGCACAGGAAAGTAATCTAACCATGAAAACTTTATCCTGTGTTAAGTACATGTTCTAAGCTTAATGTATTTTTGAGATGTTTATCAATCTTAAATAGCAGCTGTTATAAAAGCACTTATTACCAGCTGACTCGCTGGCTCATTTGCAATTGATAGGCAATTCTGAAATACACAAAAGCATATACAAATACTGTAAATTACTGGAGCTTTTGAGAGAAGCTTGCTGTTAAACTGCTGCGTAGCAATTATACTTGGATGTCTGTCTAAACAAGGAAGTCTGTCCCTTCTCTCCATTTTGTGCTTTAAGCATATCAATATTACTGGATTTCTTCCCTCAGAATTAACCAGCAGAGTGACAGCTGTTGTGTACATGAAGATAATAAATTAAACAAGGACTGCATGCACTCTTGTCATGTACATGTGGTGATTATCTGGAATACAGTTGAGGTACAGCAGTAGTTCTGGGTAAATATGGTTGATTAATTTGACCCAACCCTACCATTGCAGTTAATGGTACAAGCCTGCTGCCTGATTCAGAACCATGGGTCATGCTAATGGCAGCCATTTTATGAGTGAGCCATAAATTCTGTAGTAAGGCATGGTAATTTTGTCAGTTAAGCCCCATTAAATCTGTGTATGTTCTTAGTCTTTTGTGAACATGAGGCATTATACTGCTTTACATTTTTATTCAGGTTCTGTATATAGGTCTGTACTGGATTAGTTGTAATTCTGAGGCTCTATATACTGCACTTCAAAAATAATGGTTTTAATGGTTCCAGTGTTTTTAAACCAAGTTTTTAAAAGATAACTTGGCTTCTTAAGTGTGTGAGGTGTTTGGAATATGGAAATCATGCACAGCAGTGGAACTACTAGTAAAAACTTTCAGTGACTTTAGACAGTAAGATATGAAATACATATAAGGAGACATTTTGTTTGCTCTGCTAATAGTGAATGCTTAGATAAAATATGGTTTTGAAAATGTTATACCATCAAGCCCTGGGAATTTGTCCAGACAAATTCAGTTCTTAAACATGTATTTACTCTGTGTTTGTTTCTCTGCAGGGGAAGCTTGCTAACCAGAAGCCTTGCTGATATTGTAAAGAAAGAGGACTTCGTACTCGATTCAGAATATTTGGTCACGTTATTAGTGATTGTACCAAAGTAAGTTTGTTGTGTGCCCGAAAAGCACAATAAAATAAGAAATTTAAGTCAAATAATATATCCCACAACCCTTTAGTACTGTAAGAAAGGACATCTGAATTTGTTTGGGGTTTTCCTGGATGAACGAACATAAATGTCTGGATGCTCAGTAGAGGCAAATGAGCCTGCGTACCTGCATTCCACTCTACGTGAGAACTCATCGTAAGGAATGCTGAGTGCTGTTGAATTTCTTTAGGAAAGTGGAGATCAGATTTGTCTCTTACCTAATATTAGCTGTGACTAGTGATGTTGCAGAAGGTAACCTTATGAAAACACTGAGTGAAAACATGACTTGTTTTACATTAGAAAGGTTGATGATGGAATTATCCTGGTTAGGATTATGGGCTTTTACCACCTGGTGAGCAAAGTGAACTATACTTTGCTCTACAATTTTTTTCAGATTGCTAGAGTGTTGCTTTTTAACTTGCTTACGTCTCTGTCAACGTAACACTGCTTACATCATGTCAAAGGTTTGCTGGGGGGAGCAGGTTGTTCCTGTCTGAAATATTTAAACAACAAAAGCTCCATCTTTTACCCTGACCAAGGGAAGTGGCAGTAAAGACATCCTTAAGACTCTTGTAAAATGAGAAAATGGCCCTAGACTCATTCTGGAGCTGGAAACAAAGTTGAGCTTCTAACTTGTAAAGATAGCCAGTAGGTGGTTAATCACATGAAGCAGTAGTCTGTGTCACCAGTAGAACTCTGGTGAAGGTAAACTGGTTTTGCAGTGGCTTTAGAAGAAAACAAGTGGCTAGTATATCTTGACTGTTCTCTCTTCTGCCTTTGACTTGGCTTTGGTGTTCAAAGGGTGAAACCTCTTCACCACCAACTACAGAAAGGCAGGACTTCCAAAATTCTCAGTCCTTCAGGCAAGTGCAGGACGCTGGGGAGCCCATTTATAATTGTGGAAAAAGTATTCTTATTAGGAACTTGCATAAGGAACTTCTGATAAACCTTGACTGTTAAGTTTGTTTGGTCCCCTGAGATCTGTACTCAGTGATGACTGATTTAATTTAGTTCTTTAATTTCAGAAATTTTACACTTATAGACTTATATGAAGACTGAAGATAAAATGTGTTACTTTTGCTATCATTACAGTTTATTTAGCAGTGATCTTAAAAACAGCATGAGGAAGACTGTCTCTTATGTCTTGTGTATTTCTGACAACCTTACACCTGTGTTGAAAGATTTGATGATTAAATGTTTTCAATTTTTTTAATTGATCCATTAATCTAAGATTTCTTATCTACGGTACTAAAAATGTAATTATAACCTGTGTATTCTGTAGGTCAAATTATAATGACTGGGTTAAGCAATACGAAACACTAGCAGAGATGGTTGTACCACGTTCCAGCAAGTAAGTAGTTAAAAGCTAAATCTTGTGCTCTATTTTACAGGTGATCTTTAACTGTAGTGACTTTGAATTTTTAAAATTAGTCAAAAACTTGACAAAATGTCTAGCTTTGTATCTTTAGCTGATCAAGCTTTTTATGTTGTAGTAAAGTTAAAAATCAAAGGAACTCTAGGGTTAAAAAATTTACTAAACTAACGTATGTGGCAAGAGTAAAAGAACTGAAAAGTACAGATCAGGTACATTCAGCTTCAAGCTAGTGCATGGTGGCATTTAGCAACAAATACTAGCTGCTAGCCTGTAAGCTTTATGCCTGTATTCAGAGGACTTGAAACAAGTTGCATACACTCTTTGAAAGCTGCTAAAGAATGAAGAACTGGAAATGTAGTTGGTTTTCTTGGTGCAAAGAAAAGTAACTTGTCTCTTTTGAGCTAACAAAGGTCCTTGGTACCAAGCTGGTGCTTGCTGGCTGTGATGGTCAAGACTTGAGGCCAAGACTTGGTAGGATTGTTAAGCCACTTGAAAATAGAGTCAACATGTAGCCCAAAACATTGATATGTTGTTAATTTTAACTGACAGAGTGGGGTTCTGATCAGGCAGATTGGATATTGCCAGTTCTGTGTTTGTTATAAAATCTGACCTTGCTCTTGCTAACTTCACATTTGAACTGGATCAGCTTAAGCCTAGTGAGAGATCTGCTAATGATTCTTGTTTAATTACTGGGAAAGCATAACTTCAGGATAGCCTGAAAAGAGATGACTCGTTAAACTTTTTATTAAAGACAGTATGGCATTGAGGGACAGCCTAAATCTCTGCTCAAAATAAGCAGTATTGTCTTGAGCCATAAAACAGTAAATCTAAGGATTGTCTCTACAGCCTAAGAAATGCTCTTTTTCTTAACCTAAGGCTCTTTAATTTGTGTGCTTTTCTATTTTAAATCAATTTCATTTTTCTTTAAAACATGCATTTCTATGAATTCTGTAGTTCAAACTTTTCAGTATTAAACAAGCTTTAGTTCATTTTTCTGTAAAATCATTTTAACTTGATTAAATATCCATGCATGAAGTGTTTGAGTGGTGAAGTCTCTGAATGTGAAAAGGAAACTGCTGTTCTTTACGAAGGGAGTAATTAAGAGCAGTTGCTAAAGTTTCAGTTACTTTCTGTATAAGGTGTTTAATTTGGGAACTAATCCTGTATGGTTATCTACAGTTATGTTCTTGCCTAGTAGCAATAAGTACAAGTTAAGCTACTGTATATCACATCTGTGGTGTCCTGAATCATATTAATTCTGACACTTTTTTACTTTTCTCCTTTGTAGTGTACTCTTTGAGGATCAAGATAGTTACCTTTGTAACGTCACCTTGTTCAGGAAGGCAGTGGATGACTTCAAGCATAAAGCCAGAGAATATAAGTAAGGCTTATTTTGTGTGTGTTCCGTCTCTCATGCTTTGAGGGATCTCTGGATAGCTACTTTTGATTTTATTCACTTCCAAATGCAGATTTATGGTCCGTGACTTCCAGTATAATGAAGAAGAGATGAAAGCAGATAAAGAAGAAATGAATAGACTGTCAACTGACAAGAAGAAGCAGTTTGTAAGTCTGTAAACTAGTCATTACAGAAACATGAGACATCTAAGACTTGTTATTGCTACATAACAATTTCATGAACTTGTGATTCTGAGAAAGCATTGCTTAAGATGACATGACGTACTCAGACTGCCACCCGCCTAATTTGCTCAGGGATAATTGAGTTTCCCCTAGCACAAATGCTCCTCTGCGGTTGAACCTAGTGCTGATAATGCAGCTGATCATATGTGAAGTTTGAAAATGGACAAGTATTTGAATGAAATAATCAGATATTACTAAAATGGTTCATAATATAGTTAGCCCATGGCAGCTGAGATTGTGTACTGAAAAGATACTGGAAGTCTCATTAAATTTCTTGTAGTATCAAAACAGCTTTGATCCATTATGTCATAGTGAAACTCTGCCTTTAAGTTGTCTTTATTATCATGGTAGAGATATTGAGTATCTGCTCCAATATGATTAATGGGTTTAATGTTTTTCTGGAGTTTGAATAATATTTTTTTTTCTCTTCCCTTTCACAGGGGCCTCTGGTTCGGTGGCTGAAAGTTAATTTCAGTGAAGCTTTCATTGCATGGATTCATGTGAAAGCACTACGAGTTTTTGTTGAATCTGTTTTAAGGTAATGAGGCAGACCTGAATAGTGTGTTTCTTCCTAGACTTTGTAAGAATTTACATTTAGCTTGTTTTTACCAAACTGGGTATGAATGCCACTTTTCCACAAAGGAGGAAACGAGAAATAGGGCAATAAAAATAGCTGATTGCAATAGCTCTTGTTGATAGTTGTAGAATATTTGAGTAGATAGTTGTGTATCTTGCCTCTTTCCACCAACGCTTTAGGAATTACAGGTACTCTGTAAGTTGCAGCAAGGCATTTCTGCTGATTCTTAGCTTGCTTTATGACCTGCTTGTGTAGAGAGCTTACTATATCTTCTATTTAAATGGGAAATTGGACTAGTTCAGAATAAAAGCATTTGGGCTTTGAGTAATATAGCTTGACATTTTGAAATACATGCTTTTTCTTTAATATGTGCCTTTTGAAGAGTTTTGTAGTCTAAACTTTTTAAGTATAAAACCATTCAATACCCTAACTACAAAACTTCTCTCTTTTCTTTGCTTTTTTTATTTCATACCATATCCAGAAATATGGTTACTAAGTTGACTTAAGAAGAGCTGTATTTGTTCTGTAGAAGGAAGGACCTGAATGATTATTAGAGTTCAAAGGACTTTACCTTAGTCAGAAAATGGAAAGGGTGGGGTTTTTTTAGCCGTTTTAATAAGTTATCATAAAGGATAAATCATAAAGGACTTATTAAAGGACAACCAGAGAAGAAAAGAAAAAGAAGTAACATGAAATTGCATTCTGGTCTGTTTCATAACTGCTACGGGCTGAAATCTGATGACAAACTTGAGTGAGGAAGAAAGCTGAACTTGATTTGTATATTGTGATATGTTTCCACGCATCTAGAAAAGAGGGTTGAGTAGAGACTAGATTCTCCACCTAGTGACAGAAGCAAAGCCTTGCAAGTAACCTAATTGGAATGTTCAAATATTAGTTCGAGATGTCAGGTAACTTTGAGAATTGTGCTAAGGACTCAAGGATTTAAAATGATTTTAAAAACATTTAGGCTTCTGTTTTGTTATTTTAAACTTTAAGAAAAGTTCTATTTTATTGATACCTTAAGAATTGTAGGAACAGAATGGTCTTGCAAAAATGAAAATGAGCAGAATTTCCTCTTCAGCAACAGGTTTCTTTCTCAAAATAAAATTCTGCTTTGAAAGAAGGCTTTATTTCAGCATTTTCATTTCCTCAGGTATGGTCTGCCAGTTAATTTCCAGGCAATGCTGCTTCAGCCTAATAAGAAAACAATGAAGAAACTGAGGGAGGTTTTGTATGACTTATACAAGCACCTTGACAGCAGTGCAGCAGCTATCATTGATGTAAGTATTTTTGTAACTGCTGCTCCCCTTCAGTATTAGGTTTAATCTGTTTAAACAGAAAAGTTTTATTTACTTTATTACAAAGCTCCACCTCTCCATACTCTGCATCATCTCTCAGTACAGGAAATTCTCTCCTTATAAAAATGCCACTTCTGTTGTACACTTTTGCAAAGCAGATGGCATTTAATTTTGCAACCAATGCATTTGATGAGATGTCTGGTATAAAAGTCTTATGTAATTTCTTCTTACTGCGTTTTTCCCTGCTACTGGTGGAAAGATATCTTACAGGTACTCCATACATATTCATATCCTCAGAGAATTCAAAGTCAACTTTGATCTGAAACTGGCTTAACGAATTTTGACAGTTTTCATCTCTTTTTCTTTGAGCCCAGAAGGAATACATAAGTTGTCCACAGTCTGTGGTAACAGTGGCCTTTAAAGATAAACAAAAATTGCTTTAGTATTGGTTCCATTGCTGTCTTTGATCCTTCTCTGCTGAAGGAGGCTAAATAGATCTCAAGATGGAGTCATCCTTTCCATCTGTAGTGGTCTCATTGTGTTTAAAACTGCATTGCTGGGAGGCTTAATCTACTGGTTTGTTTTGTATTGGAAAGCAGTGCTTTTCATAGTTAAAAATTGACTAAAAAAAGACCACACAACAAGTGTAGCTGAATTTTAAAAGATTAAAAATAATTTTTCTGAACATTATATTTAATGTATATTAATGTATGTTTAATCTTTTTCCAAAGTATTTCTGGGCCTTTTTTTGGGGGGGGGGGAAGGAATGCGAGACAATTAAGGTAGAAATTAAAGATGCTGAGCTTCATTTAACTTCATGGATCATTCAGCACCTTGTATTGTTCTTTCCATAAGCTGTCTGAGTTTAGAAGAATTTAAAACAATTGCAGTACTTTCCCTTCCATTTAGTGGTGGCGAGTTTACAACAGGAATAGAGATGAAATACTGATACACAACTACTTAGATTTTTGAAAAAAGCACTTTTATTTCACTTTGAAAAATATTGTTGTCTGTCAAACTTCTAATTTCATTGCTTAAACAGTCACTTGAGCATAGAAATTTAAGCTTATTTGCTTCTAAAACATATGAGTGTTTCACCTACTTCTGGGTAGGAGTCTGAATTGTAAGAGTATAACTGGTTTCTAAACTTTATTTGCAGGCATCTATGGATATTCCAGGCTTAAACCTCAGTCAGCAGGAGTACTACCCATATGTGTACTACAAGATTGATTGTAATTTGCTGGAATTCAAGTAAAAGTTCCCTAACATGACAATCTTCTCAGTGTTGGTGTAAACAAACAGAAGTGAGGTTGAAGTACAGTAATACTTTTGACACTGCTAATCATATGCTTGCTTCTTATGTTAGGTGAATTTAACACACAGTGGTCCATCTCTAGACATTTTCTTTTTAAAGAACAGAGTAGGTAATCTGCTTTTAATCAATAATGTCTGTAAATGTATATTGAGAGAATTGAAGTATTTATAAACAGAGTGATTTATTTAAGGAAAAGCTCATTCCTCTTTCATATGGTGGTCTGTGTTAATTCCCTTTACCATTGTTTATAAAAAATGTTTACAGAATAGTGTAAATGTTCATGGCCATTTTGTTCATTTGATTTAGCTGGTACAATTGTGTTAATGTTGTTGAACTGTGATGTAAAGTATGTAAAATTGGTATGAAATTGTGCTTTATGAATGGTTTAAAATTACAATTGATGCACTGTAAACACAGGGGAAAATAAACATACCTGTGCAAATGTGTCACTTTCTCATACCACATATAACTAGATACCTGTGTCTAAACTGAACCAGTGTATTAAGTCTTAAAAGCAATGCTTCAGTCAAATATTTTTAAGAGATGTAGTTATTTGTGCAGAAATATTCAAGTATGTTTAGCCGTCAAACCTACATATGAATATTTTCCAGGTTTATAACTTTGTGACTCTAAAGAAAAGATACAGAACAATTATTGGGAAGGTGGCAGTAACCTGGGATGCTAGGCTGGCCTGGGATTTTTTTGATAATTCTTTGTTCTTGTCAGTCAGTCGAAGCTTGGGACTACTGCCTACGTTATGGCTTTGAATAGTCTAATAGTAGATGTTTGCTTTTTATTATTATCTGTTGTTTGAAGTACTGTAACCACTGGAAGTTTTTCTAATCTGATCCCTAACTGAAAATACCAGTGCTGTGCATGTAAGCTCTATAGAGCTTCCCACAGTAGACTCTCTAATCATAAGCCAGAAGCATTTCTGAAGAATTTGCTGTCTTCCATTAAGCCAAGATGGCTGTAGTCCTTCAGTGTGAACTAGTCTAGCATGGGTCTTCTGGGGGCCACATTTCTTTCAGGGCATGTCCATCTGGTCCAATTTGGGTCCTCCAGAGGCTACATTGTGGTGGATATCTGCTCCAGCATAGACCTCTCCAGGGCCTATGGCACTATACCTGCTCCCCTCTGCCCCGCTCCATGGGCTGCAGGCAGATACCTGCTGTTCATTTCCTTTCAGTGATGTACCTAGGCTACAATTATCTGTGGCTAAACAGACTCAGAACTGCTGTTCACAAGGAAGTGAAGATTAGAGAGTATTAAATGTTAGTGACCAGTCTTGAAATCGCTGACGTCTGATACTGCTGGGTTTTTTTAGAGGGTGAAGAGAAATACTATGGATACAGGGGGTGGCAGTTAGTCTGTGTCAGATTTGATTTATAGAGAAAGGCTAGAATCAAAACCTTGTTTTACTGTTTGTTATATTTCTATGGTTCTTAAAAGATTTCTGGCAAATGGAACAGGGTTAGAACTGTAGAAATGGAAAATTTTCACTCTGAGAAGCGTGCCAGGTGATTCAGATAGGAATTAATTTGTGGAAGAAATGAAGAGTGTGGTCTACTCTGGAAGGTGAGGAGTATGGGAATTTTGTTTTTATTATAATAAACATCAGTCCTAATAGGAAAAGCAGGCATAACTGGATTGTCTCAATTTACATCTCTGTAGGTAAAATCTGAGGACACAGCTATTGCACAGCACAAGTATCTGAAAGAGCAGTGTACAAGTATTTTAGTAAATTTGGCATAGATCTTGAAATGCTCATGGGTACCTTTTGAAAACTGACAAAACTTAATAATGAAATCATATGACAAAGCAATACCTGCAGTGAGTTCCGGGATCACCGGGACTAAGGAAGAAGGAGTGGAGAACAGAGGGTAGAAGAAGAGGAAATGTGGTAGCTCAGGGATTGTAGAAGGGGCAGTTAAATAGATGCAGAAAAGAGCTAGTAACTCATTAATGAGCAGGAAGGGGTATGGAGGAGTGTCACCACAGCTATGGTGGACAGAGCAGGAGAGAATTTCAGTGAACTTAAAATGAACCACACACTTGTTGGAAGAAAACAAGCACCACTGTATCTTGAAGAAGAGTAAGAAGAGAGCCTGGGGAAGTACTGTCTGGTCATCCTTACCTTGATCCCCTGGAAGATGATGAGCAAGCTATGTTAAGGCCAGGAAGGTGGTTAAGGGGGGGTCAGTGTGGATTTGTGCCTTACCAACCTGATAGCCCTCTACAAGGCCATTAGCACAGTGCATGAGAGGAATTCATCTTGACTTAGCTATGTGCTTTGACACTGTGTCCTCTAGCATCCTTAGTGACAAACTGATGAAGTACAGGTGAGATAGGGGGACAGTGAGGTCAACTGAAATCCAGGTGAACTGAAGGTCTCGAAACAGGACCTGCCACCTGTTATTAGTGGCATAAGGTCCAACCAGAGGTCACTTACTAGTGGTGTACCCTAGGGGTCAATACTGGGGCCAGTATTGATTATCATTGTTATTAACGTCCTGGATGATGGCACAGAGTGCACCCTCACCAAGTTTGCTGGTGATACAAAACTGGGAGGAGTGGCTCATACACCACATGCTCCCTCCCATTCGGAGGGCCCCTGGTACGGCGGAGAAATGGGCAGGTGGGAACTTCATGAAATTTGACAGGGTGAAATGTGAAGTACCACATCTGGGGAAGTTTAATTTTCATAAAGATACTGATAATTTTGAAAGCTTTCTGAAAGAAAAAAGCATCGATGTTCTGCTGAGCCACTAGATACAGCAAAACATTGCCGGCAGTGACTGACTCCTGAGCAGAACTGTTTAGAAGGTAACTTCTTCCCGGGTACTTTTGTACATGAATTTGGTAGGTTTCTTTCAGAATTCCTGCTGCAGAAGGTGTGTTTCAATTCTGCTTCACTGCTTCTGTCAACAAGTGCAGTGTTTGTCTTCTGCCCAACTGGGACTGGATTCTTAGAGTGATTTGCCACCAGCTTAGTATTCGTCTCCAGGCAGGCAGTGTATAGTTTATCTAAAGCTGACGTAAACTCCTTCAAAAGTGCGATAATACGTGAGATGAGTCACAAACACAGGATGTCACCCTTCGCTTTGTGGGGATGGCATCCCTGCCTGGGATCTTTTAGTGTTGCTTCAGTATAAACAAATTAACTCCGTCACTTTCTGTACTATGGCATTAACTGTGAGAGTCACAAGTAGGTAAATGCTTTATCTTGCAAATGTCTGGGGTTTGTGGATCACCAAGTAGTTTGCATTTTGTAGGGTCAGGAGGAATACAAGTGTAATATTTGAATTCCTGCAACTTCATTGAATTGGATTTTCCTGAGGTTCATTTGAGTCCATAAGCAGCTTATTGCGGATGTTGTATTTCCCTAAGACTTGGGGCCAGATGGTGTTGCTAGATGGTGATGCACCTGAGAAGCCGTGTCTGTGTGAACACTTTTGGAGAGCCCTGCACTAGACAGTCAATGGGAAAGCTACAGGGGAAGCCAAGTCAAGTGAAAGTAGATGTTGGAGCGCCAGCTTTTAATAGACAACTGCAGTTTTATGTTAAAGAAGCATGAGCATGCATGATGTTGTGGAGATGTTCCCTATTTATTGGCCCAGTATTGCTCTTCTAAAAACTTTGGTGATTTCAGCTTTTGTCTCATGTAGGCTCATTAACAACCTCTCCAGTCTTACACTGTGTCTGTGGTGTGCTCTCTAACGCATTGTTTTGACTGTAATCTTCTGAATGGAAATCTTTATTTTTCACCTCCAGAGTGCGATCTCGAGCTACTTTCAAAAAGCTGCTGTTTGTAACGCTCAGCCTCTGCTGAATGGTGTGTATTTGAACTGCAATGTTTCGTCTTTTCAAAATGTCATCTCACGGGCACGTAATACCAATATTGTCCATAAGTGTTAAGCTTTGCTTCCCCATACTCCATAGAGATTTGCATGGTGCCATGTATGTATTCAACCTCTCCCTGAAGAGCCTGAAGAGATTGACAAGTCCTGACCAGTGTAACAGAGTTCTGGTGGACTCAGAATTGCTACTTAAAGTAGTGTATGTCCAATTTCAGGTACACTGTCAGATTTCAGTATTTCAAAAGTGTATTCTTTGACTACTGTTTCTGTTGATTTTGCCGCATATTAAATGAAAGGATTATTAGGGATCACATGCTTTTTTTTCTGTCAAAGCAAAAGTCTTCAACTTTCAACCTTATGTACCGTCTCCTTTTGCAGTACATGACCCTACTTCAAACCAATGGCAGCAAAGGGAAAAGATAAAGCAATCCTGCAGCTGAAGGCTGTAAAACACTGTCACAGGCCTTTTAATCCTCTTTTCATTTTTTAAATGGGTTTCTGAATTTTTTTGAAGTGTGAAAATGCTCCTGTAGTTCCTGAGCCATGGAGTTTTCCTTCTACAACAAACTTGGATTTCAAGTTACCTATTCAAAATTTAGGGGTTTCATAGCTTCTAGTGGAGCCTGACAGAGGCTTGTCTTTTCCTTCCAGACTCTTCAGGAGAAATTCCTGGTCTCTGCGGACAGAGACACTGTGGACATCATTACTTGATTACTTTATTCTGGCATACATTTTGCTCTTCTCACTCTCTTTCTTGTGTCAGTAACAGTGTCAGTCCAAAGCAGATCTGCCAACTGGTCCAGCAGACAAGGACTTCTTTTCCTGTGTACCAGTTACCTGCTTTGGCAAAGAGAAAACAGAAAAACTGTTTTCAACTTAACTCACCTGTAAACATGAGGGAGAAAGCAAGAACAAACATCAGTGTGGGATACACAGAGCAATCTCAGTTGGTAAGGAACCGCTTCCCACACCGGAGCACCCAAGGGCAATTGCTCAGCCCTGCTTGCTCCCCTGTCTTCTGCTCTGTCATATCCCTTGGTTGCATCACTGTCACAGGTCATTCCATGCTCCTTACTGAATCCTTCAGGTTTTTGTCCTTCTGCTACTCCGATTTTTCCATCTTTCCCTGGCTCTCCCTCTTTTATGGTCTTCTACTGCTCCCTTCCCTTTTTTTCCTCTTGGATTTATAAGCCAACTGTACCAGAGGCTGCAGTTTTGAATGTCTTCATGTTGCTAAGCAATATTCTTTCTCTCTTCTCAGCAGTCTGGTTTTCTTAGAAATATTAAGTATCTGCAATCCCCACTTGGTTGCCCTGCATTCAGATGCATCCTTGTCTTTATCTCCCATAGCTAAACAGCAGCCTAACTCGCCAAATTCTTCCATGTGAATGTTTGTAGACATCAGTAAAACTATTTCTTGGACTATTTCTTAGCCTGATGGCAACATGTGTATTGGCATTTTTCTAATAGTTAAGTGGTTAGTACAGTAAAGTTGTGAGTTTAAATAATTTTATGATTTTTTGCTAATGGAAAAGTATCTTAAGATAATTGGGTAAAAATACATTCTTAAAAAAGCTCCAAATCTTTAAATTCTTAAAAAGCAGCTGTAGAGTCATTAAATACTTCGACTTTCTGAGAAGGTATTACTTAAGGCAGGTAGAAAAGGATTCTCTTGTGCTTGGGTGAAAAAAGCTGTTGTAATAATAAAGTTACCTTTCCCGTATAAATATACAAGCACTTCAACCCTTAGAGCTTCGAAAC